CTTAACATTTAAAGAAATTTTATAATTAATTAAAAAATGAATTAATAAGAAGTGGTTGAGGTATGAAGGGAGATACACAGATGGTCTGCATTTGGAAGGGATTTAAAAAATTGAATAAAAGGACATCATTTTTATGTTTTAAAATGAATAGCATGAGGAGTCAAGCCCTGCACCTCAGGGTCACTGGGTCAGTAAGGCTTTGCAAGCACGCAAGCAGCCATTTCTCCGCTAGAACAATTTGTTATCTACGTCGCATATGTTTTATATATACATGACATATATAGCTAGGGTAATTCTATTTACAGCCCCTTAATTGCTAATCACACACATATTTTCATAATTCCTCTTGTGCCCTTATTACTTAGAATGTCTCAATCGCCTTTTGAAACTCCGACACCGTATCTTAAATCTTAATGTTCCAATGAGGAAGAGAGTAGAAGATGTATTCTTCTAGCGTCGGATTCAAAGTGGGGTAAAGACCGCCAATCACTTCCATGTGTCCACAAAACCACTCACCATCACATATGGATACTTAAACAACATGGATTTCACACATAGTTTTATATCATCGAATTGATATTTTCATGTTTTTAAGTGGCAGCCTATATTTGATTTTGCATTTGGGTGTGTCTTCTACTAGTTCTGAATTTTTATTTCATCTTCTTTTTTGGCTTCAAATTTTTACTATGCCCACACTTTTCTTTCGGCAATTTCCTAGCACTAGGATTTCGGTAGTTTGCGATGGAAAAATTTAAAGCAATTTTTTTTTCTTTAAACTCGATGATATAAAATTAGTGCAACATAGAGTTTGCGACTTTGTAGCACAAGGATTGCGGCAATTTGCAATTTTGCAATTTGCAATTTGCAATTATGCAATTTTGCAGCCGTGATTATCTTTGCTATAATAATAAGGGGTAATCTAGACATTTGTATTAATTTTGTGGCTGTGATTAGTAAAATGACGGCTGTAAATAGAATCACCCATATTTTTAATGTAAAAATTTATGTGTAAAAATCTATCTGTAAAAATTATTTGTACCGGCGCGGCCCAACTCTTATTCCTGACTACGCGCCTGCATATGGGGTCAGAGTGATAATTACTTCTATTGCATATTTACCAAGTACTCTTTTTTACTTGTACCAGTACGTGATGTTATGGATATTCTTAGTTAGTGCTGGACTCGGGCCGGTTCGGGCCCGGTTCGGGCCTGGGCCCGGCCGGGCCTCGGGCCAGGAAAGGGAGGCCCGAGCCCGAACCGCCGGTGGCCGGTTCCGGTCCCGGTTCCGGGCCAAACCGGGCCGGGCCGAACCGGCCCAATTAATTTTTTTTTTTTGTTCTCCTATTTAATCCCCTACCCCTCCCCCTCAACCCCAAACCATCCCAAACCACCTCAAATGGCCCAAAATACCTAATCCAACCTAAAACTTAAAAAAAATTCAAAAAAAAAAAAAAAAAAAAAATCCGGCCCGGACCGGGCCCGAACCGGCCTTGCCGGTTCACCAAAACCTGGGCCCGGGCCCGAACCGCCCAGCAGCCGGGCCGGGCCGAACCGAACCGGTGGACCCATCGGGCCCCGGGCCGGGCCGGGCCAAACAGTAACCGGGCCGGGCCGGTTCCAGGCTGGGCCGCCCGGCCCGAGTCCAGCACTATTCTTAGTGTGTAACTACTTACAATATAGAGGCCGTTCGGAACCACTGTTTTTCGGCTTATCAGACTTGTCAGCTTACTTTTTCACCAAACAAGTAATTTTTGCTTTCGCGCGCTGAATTGTGAAATAAGCAGAAAAAGCAAGGTAGGAGTTACTTTTCTGGCTGTTTGGGCTGAAGTTACTGTAGATGACCATTTTAGCTATTTTTACATATAATTTTTTCTTTATTTTATTAATAAAATATATTTTAAAAATAATTTTTTCTTTTATCAGCAGAATCAACCAATGCAACCACTTCAGCCAGAACTTCATAAATTTCAGCAGAATCAGCCAAATCAGCCGATTTTCATGCTACCAAACGGTCTCATAGTGAGAATGAACGTTCAAGGTTGGTTAAACAAATAAAAAATTTCCCTTGTAGCAAATCAACTACTCCCTCCGTCCCATTTATATTGTCTCGTTTTACCTTTTCGGGAAGTCCCACTTAAATTGTCTCATACCATATTTAGCAAAGTTTGTGTGGTTCTAAATCATTCTTACTTTATTCTTACTTTATCAATTAATATCAACCACACAACCCCACTTTTCTTAATAACCGTGTCACTTTCTTCCGTCCCAATGTAAATATGTGGGACGGAGGTAGTATCAACTAGGATTGGTTGAGGAACTCCGAGGAAGCAACGAATTCCCACTCATAGCATCCACATTGATGATTTTCATCTTTACGGTTTTTCATGACTTATTATTGTCATGTTATATCCACATCAGATAATCTCAAATAATCTTTAAACCAATAAATTTCTCATGGCTTAATTTACCTAGATTTTTATGAGACAATGAGACATACACTCAATTTCAAAATCTCTAACTTTAATACACTCACACACTCATGTGCACTCTACATGCAAAAACTATATTATAGTTTTAAATATATATACTACAATACGTTAGTTTAAACACACACACACAGAGAAGTGATCAGGTCCAGCCGGAGGGACGGGAGGCGCCGTCCGAACTCCGCCGTTTGGAACGGTTCCCGGTGGAATTTTTTGATGAAATTTTTTGAGCATGTTCTTCATCAAGTCTAGTTTGTTCATACCAAATTTCAGCTCAAAATTCGACCGGGAAGGCATTCAAATCATTTTTTGAAGTTGACTGCGCCAAAATATACATATAAAAATGCAGTCAACTTCAAAAAATGATTTGAATGCCTTCCCGGTCGCATTTTGAGCTGAAATTTGGTATGGACAAACTAGACTTGATGAAGAACATGCTCAAAAAATTTCATCAAAACATTCTACCGGGAACCGTCCCAAACGGCGGAGTTCGGACGGCGGCTGGACCGGGGAGGGCTGGACCTAATCTTTTTTGCACACACACATATGTATATATATGTATATATATTAGTCTTAATTTATTGTAGTTACTACATATATATAAATATATATATACGGTTGTCTTTATTTATTATAGTTACTACACATATATAGTACAGTACGTATTTAAACATGCATATATGTATTGTCTTTAATAATATTTCAATTAATGTATTTAAACATGCATATGTAGTAGTGCTAAACAAAATGACACGTTATATAAATAGAAATATATAAATTAAAAACATTTAAATATAACATAAAGTAGAAACATTAATTAAATTAGAAACATTTAACATAAGAGTAAATATAGTAATAATTTAGTTATTGTATGTGGCTGAAGTGTGCCCAAATGTCGATACTAGTGCCACGTGAAGCGAGTAATTATGAGTAGAGAAATCATCATGTCAGGCCGGCCTGATCGGGAGAGCCCCTGGTGGAGTTTTTTGATGAAATTTTTTGAGCATGTTCCTAATCAAGTCTAGTTTGTGCATACCAAATTTCAGCTCAAAATTCGATCGGTAAGCCATTCAAATCTTTTTTTGAAGTTGACTGCGTTTTTATATGTATATTTTGACGCAGTCAACTTCAAAAAAATATTTGAATGTCTTCCCGATCGAATTGTGAGCTGAAATTTGGTATGGACAAACTAGACTTGATGAGGAACATGCTCAAAAAATTTCATCAAAAAATTCCATCGGAACAGTGCCCAAACGGGCTCGGCCGGACGGAGGTTCCCGTCAGGCCGACCTGACAAGAAGAGTTCTCATTATGAGTATAGCCTAGAAGTTGGAAATAATTCCAAAATAATCCAGCTTTAGAATTTGATACCAGATTATTTTATCAAATAATCTCATAAAATAATCTCAACTCCACATCCATGATCCCCCAAAAAATCCTCCACATCATCAAAATAATTCCAAAAATAATCTATGGATGTGGATGCCCTCATACATGCGACCCTTACGGCCTACCCCCATTGAACTCAAGATCCCGTGGGGAATGATAATAAGAGCCCGTTTGGTAGCACGAAAATCGGTTGATTTGACTGATTCTGCTGAAATTTATAAAGTTCTGACTAAAGTGGCTGCATGAGCTGATTTAAGAAAAAAATATTTTTAAAATATATTTTATTAATAATATAAAGAAAATATTATATATATAATAGCTAAAATAATCGTCTACAGTAACTTCAATCGATACAGCCAGAAAAGTAACGTCTATATTACTTTTTCTGTTTATTACACAATTCAGCATACGAAAACAAAAGTTACATGTTTAGTGAAAAAGTTGACTGATAAGTTTGATAACCCGAAAAACAGTGTTGCCAAACGGCCTTTAAATTGGAGTTTCATTTTTAATTGAATTTTGTGTCACTTTTAATCGCATGCTTTTAATATTAGGAGTCTTATGTTCTTACCAAATATGGAGTAGCCTTTTACAAAATGCATACTTCGTAATTTTTTATTTCAAGATAAGTAAGGTTGAAATTATTTTTATAACTGCATTGACTTAGATTACTAACGATGACAATTTTAACTATTTTCATAAGTACTACATAGTATATTTTTTCTTATTGTATTACGAAGTAACAAAATTATATTCAAAATCTAATTTTTTTCATAAATTGCATATTCTAGTCAATTCAGTTGTTTAGTCAAAATTACGTCAATTTTAATGGATTCAACCGATTTAATCAATTTCAATATTACCAATCTCTGTTATTTCAGCAGATAACTAGAATCAGTCGATCACACCAATGTTGTCATAATCAATTTTAGCATAATCAACTAATTCAACTAATTTCGTGCCGGGTATATTTTTTTAAAAGAAACCATTGTTGTGTCGATTGAACTCTCAACTGATTCCCATATTTTTAAAAAATATTAATCCGTTATTTGACACGATGAAAATCGCCGCTATTAATGTCGTCTTAAACATATGGTTTAAGACTTTGAGCCATTTAGGGTCATTAATGAATTGTAAAAATGAAATCATCCATTCAATGCGAATCAATATACTTTGGAGTAAATTTCTAGATTTGTCATTGAAAACATGCCTCTAAATCTCTATTACCGTAAGCCATTCTCAGGGGTTTAACGGCATTATCCAGCACACTGTTTCAGTGCCTCTCTCGACTCTTCATAATAGCCCCTCAATTCCGTCCCCACTTCCCATTTTTCCCGGTTTACACATCTACTCTCTCCCTCTAATCGTCGTTTCTGCAACCCAATTGTCTATTACTGGCATTGAACTGTTGAAATCTCCAGACCCTCGTGCAGATTTTTGTTCATCTAGGTCTGCTGCTCACTCTGTGTAGTGCTCATGAGCTTTGCAGGAGCTTCTTGGCCTACTTTCTTGGTGGTTTGGTGATGGACTGCTTCAATTTATATAAGCATTTCGATACGGATTTTGATTTTGGGTTTGGGTTTTTGTTTTTCAATATGTTGTGTCTGTTCTTGCTTTTTCTTCTGGGACTGATGAATTGGTTCTTCAAGTGGTTGGTTATGCATTCCAGGGAATTAAATTGCGGGTTTTGCTCAAAAGATGGTTTTGATTTGCATTCTGGCTCAAAGGTTGGATCTTGTAAACCGTGGAAGAACTACAGCGCATTACCAGACATGGATATGCCGGAAGAGATAGCCGAAGAAAATGATGAAAATCACGAAGAAGAAGATGGTAATGGAGAAGACAAGGTGTTCGACGTTTTTACACTGAGAAAAATGGTAAAGGATGAAAGAAGAAAAGCAAAATGTGCTGAATTAGAGCTTGAGAAGGAAAGGATGGCTTCAGCAAGTGCAGCTGAGGAAGCTATGGCTATGATTCTGCGACTTCAGAAGGACAAGAGCAGGATTGAAATGGAGTTTAAACAATACAAAAGGTTAGCTCAAGAAAAGCAACACCATGACCAAGAAGTGATCAGGTGGCTACAATGGCTGGTTTCGAAACAAGAGCTGTCATCAGAAAGTGTTGCTATGGAAGATAAACTGAGATTTGGTGGTCAAAGTTGGAAGCAATTTATGATGATGAACAATGGAGACTCCTCTGAAGACGAGACATCAACTTGGTGCTCTCCTAATCCTCACTTTCACCATGAGATTCGCCGTCGGCTTTTTAGCTCTCTTGATCTTGATCTATCACTGGAGTTAGATACCAATTAAGCAGAAAAAGGTGTGAAGTTTGACTCATATTAGTATATCCAACGGTTAGAGTATAGAACAAAGTATGCGTTGTTAATGAAGTATCTTATATGTCATTATATCCTTTTGTTTTTCATGTTGATATAAAATGACCAATATGACACTGATTTGCGTATGACTTTAGATGTAAACATTGTTGGCAATCTTCTTCATTCTAATCGATCATGGTTACAACTTGCAATAACTGGGAATATAGACACAATAGGTGGTTCACATGCTGATCAGAGGGCCTTGGCTCTCCAAATTGTATTTAGGGCATAGAAATGCTTACTCCATATAGATAATTTTTAAAGAAATATGCTCAAAAGTGAACTTTCAAAATTTTGATATGGTTTTCTTTAGTAAATAAGAAAAAGGGAAAAGGGGCAAATAAGCCTATGTACTAATAATAAAAGGTCAAATAAGCCCTTATATAGGAGACTATGTCCGGCCGTCGCTATTTAGGGCAGTTTCCGGCGTAATTTTTTGATGAAATTTTTTGAGCTTCTTATTCATTAAGTCTAGTTTACTCATACCAAATTTCAGCTAACAATTCAATCGGGAAGGCATTCAAATGAATTCTTGAAGATAATTGTGTTTTTTACTGCGCAGTTATCTTCAAGAATTCATTTGAATGCCTTCCCGAATGAAGTTTTAGCCGAAATTTGGTATGAGTAAACTAGACTTAATGGTTAAGATGCTCAAAGAATTTCATCAAAAAATTCCTCCAGGAACCGTCCTAAATGGCGACGGCCGGACAGAGCCTCCTAAATAAGGGCTTATTTGACATTTTTTGGTTAGTATGTGGGCTTATTTGACTCTTTTCTCTAAGAAAAAATTAGGACTTCCCGAAAAAGAATAGATGGAATTTAAATAGGGAGAGAAGATGCAATGTGGTAATGTTTGATAACACAAGAGATGACTCATTATGCGTGCCGGATGTTGGATCGTTTCTTTCCGAGATTATGATATTAAAGCATGATTTACTCGTCCACCGCTTTATGGGGTAGGGCTTCTTTTTGAAATTGTGATATTAAAACATGATTTACTCATTCACCGCTTTATGGGGCGGGGAGGGGCATCAAGAGTGAGCATTCCACTTTTTTAAGGATTGAGATCCTCTGTCGTATGGCCGAGTGCCTTGCGGGCAGGGGGGTCGTCGGATGAAGGAAATGAAACCTCGAGATGTGAACCTTGAAATCTCCGACGGTTGAAAGCACCGTGCCTTGCTCTAAAGGAAGGCAGAGGCTCCGGGTCCCTTTTTTAAATGGAGCTCATCAGATTGAGCGATATGCCGATAAGGTCATGGGTCACTTACTCTCTTACTACGTACTACGTATAAGTTATAACCCATGTCAGGCAGGTGGGTGAAGTCGCAGAGGTATTACTCAAAGTGAATGCTGGAACTGAAGCTGCAGATGCTGGCCAGCCTTGAACTGCACTGTAAGTTATTATAGTGAGCTGTGATTATGCCCATTATTTTACTTTACTGACGATTTGCTTGGGCCCTTTCTGCATAATTATGTCACTTTGAGCATATGAATATAAATCATTCTCACCTTTTACCTACTACTTTAAGTTGGTGTATTAGCCAGGAAGAATCATTTTTATAGTGAGCAAGAAGTTTAAAGTTTTAATCATTCTATGCTTCAGTCTTGACATGTCATTAACCTCTTCAATTCCACAAAATAACTACTTTAACAGTTTAACATATAGATAAAAATGTGAAGAATAATAAATTTGGAAAATCATGAATATCATTATTAGTTTATTATGTCAGTGACAGTTCTTATGGTACTATGAGTTTACTATGCCACTAATGTTTATTGTCGATGTCACTGTAGTCGCCATCGTGTCACTATCATTGTCGCCGGTGACTCAGCATCATTGTCGTCGTGGAACAAGTTACTAATAACTCATTTTTACCCGATTGTGAAAATAACTTTTTCATCCTAGTGGATCAGACATACATAGCTGATACATGTAGAGACTCATAACAAATTTATACACTTTCTAGCTCATGCACTGATGCACGGATGAGTTTTGAATCCAGAATATTGTCATCATATATGCTATTCACAGATCCCAAAAAGGTTTAATTTCTCGTTTCAATTGACATAGTATATTTAAAAAACATATATTGAAATCATGTGATCTTAATTAGATTTATTAAGATGTGATACTTCAAAATACAAAATATATAAATCTGTATTTGAAAGAAAACTTAAAATATTATTTTGACACTCCAACAAACAAATCAAAACAGATATTTTATCGAGGAAGGAGGATTTGAAGACCTGAAGCAATAATAGAGCCGCCAAAGTCACTTGTCTAAGTCATGCCAATCTCAGACACCTAATGCTCTTATTGTGTACCACTACTGTCTTGATTTCAATCAAGTTATTTGAGGTTTTTGGGAGGGAATTGAAAGGTAACTTATTTCTAGTTAGGGAAATTGCTTAAATAGGAGCAAATGAGATTTCACATGTTAAATGCACTGTACTGCAACTACTTGACAGTCACGCCTACAAGATGGCTATAAATACTGTCATGGCAGTCCTATTTTGGAAATAAAAACATAGTAGTCCTATTTTGGAATTCCAAACTCCATTTACGCCTATTTTGAGAAATCTCCCTTCTAGTTATATACTTGTACGTAACTTAATATTCCACCGTTCCTAAAAACTTAGTCAACTTGGCACAAAAATTAATAAATTAAACATTGTGTGATTGAGTTTTGTGCAGAGGAAAGAGAAATAAATGAAATCCCAATTTTTTACTAAAAAGCGAAAGTGGCAAAATCAGTGGCAAACAAAAAAGGTTGGCAAAGTTTTAAGGGACGGGGGAGTATAATATTCCGTAGTTAATACTCTCTTTATCCCTATTTAAACTTTCTAATTTGAATAGCACACATTTTAAGAAAAAGATGTCTTGTTTTCACTCCCTGAAACGCGCTCTTCACGAAAGGGTAAATTTTATTGTATTGTCCACTGTTTGACACTGTTTTGTATAACGAGTAGTTGAGTAAATTGATAGAAATTTGTATACGAAACAAGAAAAGTGAGTCTATATAGGAACATTTGTTAAAGAATAGCAGGAAATCGGACCAAAGTAATACTCCCTCCATACCATTTACATCTTCCCGCTTTCCTTATTTAACTTGTACTCCGTCATACCATATCTAGATCTCTCCGTCATACTCTCAATAATTTTGAAATTAACACGCTATTATAACTACTTTTTGGATTTATCCTTCATTCCAGCACATTATTTCATTATCTCCCTATCATTCTCTCAATAATTTATATCTCATTTCACTATTTATAATCTCATATACTTTTAAATGGGAATATGTAAATATTAAGGATGTATTAGTTACTACGGAGTAATATGTAAGTTTAGGTCACATGGTTAAAAGATCTTTGGCATGGTACAACAAACATAAATGGACAAACATTTAACCAGAGATAGGATGCGACCCTCCACCCACTTCACTCCACTACTTGTCTAATTGGTATTTATGGTATGCTTTAACAGACAAAAAGCTAATACACTAACTGAAAACAAAAAATAAAAGTTTATATGCAAGTATACAACTAATAAAGGCCGGATGGATGATGCACATGAAAAGGGGCCATCCGAATTTCTCATCACTTTATATATAGGTCGTGTTCATCACTTGTTTTTCACTTGCCAATAATTTACATTTATAGTTTTAAGCGCTAAAGCAGTTAGGGTACAAATTGAGTTGAGTCATGGTAAAGGTTCTTTTGGATAAATGTTTACATTAATTTTACTCCATCCGTCCTTAAATAAATATCTCACTTTCTTTTTAGGTTCGTCTCTTTAAAATGTTTTCTTTCCTTATTTGGTAAACAAAACGGTGCAAAACAGTGCCAAACACCGTAAAACAGTATCAGACAATATCCAAATAGTGTCATTTTCTTAAACTGTGTGAAAGTCAAACGGGACCTTTTAAATTGGGACGGAGGGAGTATACATTATGATATTAAAAGATTTTCTGAAATTTAGGACAGATGGAGCTGTAGCATGATCGATAAAAGTTACAACTACTTATATTTTACATTTTTGCATCCCCAATAATAAGCATATGTTGGAAAAGAAGATGAATTAGAAAAACATCTTGAGTTTGGCCAAATGCAAAGATTGAAGGTCCAAAATGAATAGAGGGTTCACAAGTTAAAAGACATCAGACTCCGCGAGGATGGTAGTGCATGAAACGATGGAAACATGAAGTTAAATGATGGAGGATTTCCAAAATAAAATCACGACTTATTAGTAGCTTGCTTGTGTTGATTGATCCATGGGTAGTGGGTACTTCGTTTTGGTTCAAGTTATTGTATCCTGTCGTGTCGTGTGTAGTTTTTAATGTGTGTTACTTTTGTATTTTCTCACTTCGTACATGTTTATCTCGCTGCTAAAGTCACAATTAGGTTAGTAAGACAGATGAAGTAAACACGCAAACTGCTTAAAAGCTGTTTACTAACCGAAAAAGGTGTTAAAGTGCCGTTTACTAAACATATCACCCCCTATGTATTAATTAAGCGCCACTTTAAACTTTTTCAGTTTCCGAATTTACTCTTATCCATTTACCTTATTGTTACCCTTTACCATTACCCCTCCACCCACCCCGCCCTACCCCTACCCTACCTTATCTCAACCCTGACCCCACCCTCCCTTACGCATCCCGTGCCCCTTACCCTACTCTACCCCTTTACCCCTACCACCTGCCCCTAACTCAACCCCACCCCTACCCCATTTACTCTACCCTAACCCCCTAGCCCTTACCACGCCTACCCCCAACCATACCCCTTATCCTGGCCCTAGAGTAGGGGTTAATGGGGGTACGAGCCTAACTAATCAACGTAGGGGTAGGAGGGGTAAGGGTACATGGGTCAGGGATACGAGTAGGGGTAGGGGTAGGGGTTAGGGGTATGAGGGTTGTAGTGGAGTAGGGGTAGAGGGTAAGGTCGTGGTAAGGGTAGGTGTGGTGGTACGAGTATAGGGTGGATAGGGGTTAGGGGTATGGGTACGCGTACGAGGTGACCCCCGCGTATTATATTATATATTTGTGTTCATGAATGTTTATGTGTCTATATATATATATATATGTATAGGATTATTTTGGACATTTTGATGTTAAACAGTGTTTTAAATCCTCTGAAGTAAACATGAGCTTACAACAATGCTTATTTTACACACCGCTTATTAACGCGGGTCTTAATAAACACCGTTTAGTAACTCATGAAGTAAAGTGTCCTTAGTTTTGTTTACTTTGGTAACAGGTACTCTTAGACTGGTTGGGTCCAAGGCATTCATAAGGTTATGAGTATAAGTAAAGACCATTAGAATCAAGGAATTTTATCAATAACCAACTATTTCAGCCCAGCTGGTTGTGAGATTACCGTGTCTAGTGAAACTCACTCAATGGAGTGAGTTTCAGCCCTGATTACTCCACCACCACCACCACCCCCCCCCCCCCAACCCAGGCCCTCCTCCAGACCCCCTGGAGTAAAAAAAGGAATTTTATCAATTCAGTACCTGAAAGATAGATTAAATATCAATCCGGGACCTGAAAGATGAAATGTATCGGTATAAGACCCGAATGATGGAAAACTATTAATCTAGGAACTAACATTTCATAGGTTTTGATTTTTTTTATTAATTTCATTGCTAATTTTTTATAAATTCTTCTTCACAAAAGTTTATTAGTTTATTATGAGTACTTTGGTTTGTATGACTATGTTTGATAAATGGCTTATCAACCATTTTTTTGGCTAGTTTCTTTAAATTTAGTTGCTTTGACTGGTTGAATAGCTATAAAATATGTTTGGTGATTATTATTTTTAAACAACTTCTTCATCTCAAGAAGCCAACAAAAATGAATAGTTGGAATTAATAAATAATACTCCCTCTGTCCCTAAATCAAAGTCACACTTTCGGACTTTCCTTAAATGGATGTCTCAAAATAAAAGTCACACTTCCTATTTTGGTAAGTTTCAGCATTTAATTTACCCTCCCATCCTTTTCTCATTAATTATCACATCTCATTCATCTTACCAACAAACCGCCCCATTTAATTTACTCGTTCATATTCCCAACTCCATACTCTTATCCCATTCATTATCTTCTCTACCTCTCTCCTTCGCATACTCCCTTCGTCCTTCTCTCTGTCGTTTATCACCACTCTGTTGCTACCTATCCACCGTGTCTCCTCTGTATACCCCTTCGCCCTTGTCTTAGTTGTTCCCCACCACTCCGATGCTACCCATCTATTCATTCTCTTCCAACGCAACCCCCTTCTCATCCAAGTCATGGTTGAGCCCTATTCTTTGTTAGCAGTGAAAACCACTCATCCAGCTTTACACATGCAACCGAAAAGTGTTTTGGATGGAGGGAAGCTTACACCAGCCTTAGACCTGAAATCAGAAAAAGGTTGGCCTGTGGATCCATTGCATGCAACGTCAACGAGGTCGTTTTCTGTAAGGATTCTTCATTTTGGTAACTCAAGTGAGGCTGAGACGGATCCGAATTGGGCGATACGAAAGAAATATAGGGACAATCTTGTGCCCGACACATATGACGGGCTGAACGGCTTGAAAGATGGACAGGAGGTGTCTTCGGCAACGAAAAATGAAGATGGCAACCTGACCTGTTCAGAGGATGGTTGAGACGAAGTTGACGAATGGAAGGAGGTGCCCCGACACGAATTCAAAGGGAAGTAGCTTGTACTCCCTATTTCTCTGTACTGTGAAAATGTTCATGGTGAATTGCATGTTTGTTATTTCTATGTGGGTTGGGGGTTTAGTGACTATTAGGAAACTAATGATGTTATGGGACTCGAGTTCATGTTTACTGAATTTATTGCCTATTTAACATGTTTTTTTTTGCACTGATGCCACCCAATTAAGAAATTAAAGGAGGTTCTATTTGCTATTCACTATTGTTTGGAACCAATTAAGAGTTTGCATTTGTAAATGCGTGCATCGCAACTGAAATACTACATGGCATTATAACTTTGCATTTGGGCTTACAAAAAATTGTACACATACTACATGGCAGTACATCAATACTTGTACTTTCATACCAATGTACTTACAAAAAGCATACAAAAAGGCATTAACACTTGTGTGTAGAACACAAAATTTAAAATTAAACATGTCATGACAGTTTATATGAAGATATGCCTATTCTTCATTTATGAATTGTCCTCGTGATTGGTCTGCATTGGTAGTTGTCATTTGTTCATTATAGTATGCCATAGCTGTTTCATACATTTGAACACTAATCTAGATATTTGTTGGTAATAGCCCATGCCTTTCCAACTTGTCTTTGCCTATATAGTTCAATTTGAAATTGTTGCCTCCCTTGTTCTGCAGTACTGCTTCCATTGCACATTGAAAGGTTCGAAAATTTTTGTTCAATGTGTTTGGAATAAGCTAACTGAAAGAAGTTTTTACAACTTCAATTAAACATGCAATATTCTTTGGTCCCTTTTGATCTTTGATTGAATCAATTGCCCTAAAAATTCCCAAGTCTAGAACATTCAAGTCTGGATTGTTTGGAAACTGGAATTTCAGTTCAATGTTCAATCCATCATTTGTCCTGGTCCTGACAAAGTCAGGATCTTTAGTCCCAATATGAGGGCGTGCATTTTCCTGTTATATTATGACATGTCTGTTTTATGATTCTGTCCATTTCTTTTTTATTACTCAGACAACTTTGTTTAGAATCATGTGCGAATGAAAATATGCCTACTTTCCCATCCCATAAAACCTCCCCTTATCTTCTAGTCTCGGCCTACCAACAATTGCTAAAAATATTATCTTTGGAATGAAATTTTTTTTATTGCGATGTTCTGTATGGATCCTCTTCTATTGGAACAATGTAAAATGTGGTTCTTTCTCTTAATATGTAAAACCACTTTTCATCAATCTGTATGTAATTATAGAAGTCATGAAAAGTAGAGGTTATTGGTAAGGAATGTGGAACTATATGACTCAAACAATATTCTAACTTTTTGAACTTTCCAACATGTGTAAGGAGTGGCTTGATAGCACTACAATGCATTTTGATTTGCTTTCTTTTATACCATCTACAAACTGTAAACTTGGACACTTGCATAGCATAGCCCAAAGCTCTCATATTTTTTCTTGGATGCAATGGTATTTCTTTCATTTCCTCAAACGTTAATCACATGCTATCAACTAAAACTGAACAAATGTATCATACATTCGACACTATCAGCCGGTCATACCAGTTATTACTACTTACTATCAGTCGGTCATACCAGCTAGAATGATCAGCTATCTACCACCAGTTGTTAACAACTAATCACAAAACACGACCTATATATTCTATTTCCCTGCCTCATTAATTATTTGTAGTGAATATTTATGATGATTATTTCTACACATCGAGATAAATCTTGTTGCAAATTCTTAAGAATTATTTTCCTTCTTGATCTAACTGCTTCTAAAATTTTCATTTGGATTGATTTTAGTCACCAGTCAAATTAGACCCGACTAAACTTGACCGATCAAATTAGTCTTGAAATAAACATATCATATCAAAATTATACCATATCATCATTTGAAACTCTATTTTATTTAAAAATTTTGGTCAATAAAATATACTTTGAGCAAGTGAATATTTTTATAGGATTCTCTTTAAAATAAAACAATGATATAAAAATAATCTTATTAAAAATAATTTCATAAATATGTAAAATTTATAACTTTCATAAAAAAAAATCAGAACTATTGTGCTCCCTTCGTCCCGGAAAATTGTTCCCGCATTGACTTGAACAGATTTTTAGGAAAGTTAAAAAATGCTTTGTCTTTCCCAAAGTGCCCCCGAAATGAAAGTAAAAGGAAAAGGAAAGGGAGTTACCGCAAGGGGGATTACTGCTACACTCAAAATGCTTTACACTATTCAATGAAGTGATAGTAGGTATAAACAATTCAACCTTTTCTACACCCTTCGTACACCACCCCTTTTCCCCCTCAAAAGTTTCCTCCCTTTTTTGGGAAACTTTCTAAAATTACCATCTATAAATACACATTCCAAATCTAAAGCTTCACTACACACTATCACACATTACGCGCAACATTTATGGCCGCAATTCCGCAAACAACAGTGACACCCAGACTTCTTCTTCCCCCATTGCATCTTCCATTAATGAAGACCTATCTTCAGGTGCAGTCAATGATTCTTCCTCACCAACTGCAGTAAATGAAGGCCTGTACACACCAACAAATTCCCAAAGCTCAAATATCAAAGCAAAAAGACTACAAAACGTAGAATGGAGAGTAGTTGATGAAATTCTAATTAGTGCAACAAGAAATGATTCTGGGGAGGTGACAGCTCAGAAAGGTGTTCTAAGTCATCTAGCCACAAAATATTCAGTGACCAGAAGAAGCATTTTCATGATCTGGAGCAAAGCTAAAGAGCAGATTATAAAGGGGAAACAATTGATGTAAAAACCAGGTGGGTGGGAAACTCATGCAGAAAAGGAGTGTTGTTTGATGTAAAAAAAATTCACAAACCCCACTTCACAAAAGGACTAACATGAAAGCACTTGCTTCGGCCAGTTCAGTTTCAAAGTCAAATATTCACAGATTGGTTCAGAGAGGTGTGCTTAGAAGTCATACAAATGCTATTAAGCCTTTGCTAAGTGATGCAAATAAAATTCACAGACTGATGTTCTATTCTAGACAAATCAATTCCAACAAAGGCAGTATTTAAAAATTTCCATAATGTGATACACATTGATGAGAAATGGTTTTCTTGTCAAAAAAACGTCACAAAGATACTACATGGGGCAGTAAGAATTGGATCCACATAGGTTATGCAATCTAAGAGATTCATAACCAAGGTCATGCCACTAGGAGCAGTGGGGAGGCCTATATTTACAGATAATGGGAAAGTAATTTGGGATGGTAAAATAGGCATTCTCCCATCCATTGAGAAAGTGACAGCTAAAAGGAAAAGCAAGAACAAAGATGCAGGGGTAATGGAAACTAAACCAGTACTTAGCATTACAAAATCAGTGTGCAATGCTAAGTACATTGTAATCCAACAAGATAATGCAACAATATAATGCAAGGCCACACATTCTAGATTCAGACCCAGGCTTTATGGCTGCCTCAAAAGCAGCTGGTATTAATATTATCCTAACTGACCAGCCTATGAAATCTTGGGGTTGTTTAGGGAAATCCAGTCTATGAAAGACCAACAAGCACCTAAGAATGTGGATGAACTATTAAAGGCAATAGATGAAGCATTCTACCGGCTTTCACCCACCACTCTCAACAAGGTTTGGTTAAGCTATCAATATGTGATGGTAGATATAATGAAAGTGGAGGATGGGAGCAACTACAATCTGCCACACAATGCAAAGGACATAATGATCATAGAAGGAAGGCTGGCCATAAGCATAGAGGTTGTTGTGTAGTTACTAGAAGCCACAGAGGTTGTTTTATCCCAACAACAGGGTAACAGTAATATTGTTAACTTACTAGAGGCAAGTAATGACCAGTTTATCCATGAAGATGATGAAGAATAAGTCATCTCCAGTAACGAACTCAGTCCATCACTGTGAAGGCGTGTTTTTGTACATGCCTTTTTGTCATATTGTACAGGCCTATATTTTTGTGCTTGTGTATGGGCCTACATTTTTTTTCATGTTGTATAGGACTATATTTTTGTAATTTTATGGAGGCATAGATAATTTGGATTGTTTAGAGGCCTATACTGTTGCAGCTACTCAGAAATTATATCATCATTATAGCATAACAGAATCCTTTCTCAAGCCTTATGGCTCCCTTATTCATCATAGCAGCCTCACACAAAACGATGCAGAGTAGTACAAAGTATATTACTCAAAGCAGCCTCGTACAAACAATGCTCAAACAATATTGTCATCATACCAACCTCACACAAAACAATGCTCAGACTAATACAGAGTATAATCATCGTACCAGCCTCATACAAACAACGCTCAGACTATATTTGTGACACCGCTCCCGAACGTCCTTGAAAATTTGATTTAAAATTCAAGTTTATGTATTGGATTTCTGATTCCCAAACAATTGTAAAACGATTAATGTTTTACGTAATTAATGATCGAATATTGTACTGTTCGAACTCGTATATTAGTATCGGACATACAGATACTATTTGGGACTTATTGATAGATAAAGGAGCCCAACATTTTCTAAATAGGATATATGACCTTTTCAAGACAATTTGAGGAAGGTCGGGCGGCCCAAACATTATTTTGGGCCCAACCTGCTAAAAATAGCAAGTATTCGAGAATGGCGTTCTAGACCCACTCGGGAGTGACCCACACGGCTAGTAGCCCAATAATATGTATGACAAATGTCAAATATGTGATAGAATGATTAAAGAAGAATACAATGTCTATAGCCCCATATTTGGCATTATTGAACTAAATAATGGGAGTAGGATTTTTCTTCTATAATATCCATTAAGTAAATTATTGTGATAAACCTACACATATTGGAGATCAATAATGTGATGTAGGAAGTTGGCTTGTTCTAAATAAATTAGGATGAGTACAAAAAGACATCTTTGACAAAAGATAAAACAATAGGACCCATCTTCCCATTTTTGGAAGTATTGGTAGATAATTTGGATCCCAAAATGATTGGGATCAATTGGGAACCACTCCACATGATATTAGTACCTGAAAGACGAATAAAAATGGGTTAGGAGACTTACCTTGGCCGCACCACATGGAGAAGCACTGCCCATGAC